TAAATTTATCTCCAGATTAGATAAATATATTGATAATATATTTTATCTTACAAAATTTAATTTGCATGATATTTAGACTAAATGCATATAGTTTTTTAGAAATGTCACCTTTAAAAAATGTCATCATTTTAAAAATTTCTTTAAAATGCCACTAATCCTCTATATATTAATTGATATATTAAAAAGCTTGTTATTATTATATTTGTAACAATATTATTTATTTGTAGATGATAACCACACTTACAAATATTTTTATATTTTATTATTATAAAACATATATTTTTTNTTTGTTANNTCCAACAAATTTATATAAATCTAAAATTTATTTAATTTATTGCATACTCTACTATTTACACAAATAATAAAACTCAATCTAACACTTCAAATAAATTGAAATAAATAACATTAACATTAGTTTTAATATTCTATGCAAAATTGATTAAAGCATATGACATTGAAATATGTATAGTAAAATTATAATTATATTACATTTATGCACAATACATTTCATTTTGTACATTTATAAATATAAGAATATATATATAAATATTAAGATCGATTAAAAAATATATTTCAATATTTAATCCCACATTTGACGTGGGTTAAAATCTAGTTTAATATATTCAGACGTACGTGTTCAAAAATATTGATTAACGGTTAAATGACATAAATGATTTTGTTAAATAATATGTAACCGGTTAAACAAATTAATCACGAAATTCCGGAAAGATAAATCAAAGCTAGAAAAAAGAATACTTCATTGTTCAAAATTTTACGAACGATATTGTTCAAATTTAATGATCTAAGCGATTAAACGTCGTTACCATTATTCCATTTACGGCATCTTTACTGCATGTAAGTGTCTCAGTTGATTAAATTGAATTAATTACACTTCGAGACACCATCTACATGATCCAATACCATAAATGTATATAACTATATTAAATTAATAAATACATTTCAGGTATCTATTTAAATAGATACATAGTGGATAATTCGAATGATTTATATTTGTCGTCTGTTACTATATTAGCCGGGGCACCGACACTCACAAACGTTACAAAAATATCGAATAGTTGGAGCTTGGATCAACTCGACATTGTACGTCGTCGTTTTGTGCTTTGAAGAGACGTC